AAAGCATACATCCTTGTGTTCCTTGTTACAACATTTCCCTTCTGATTGTTTAGGTTTACTGTTTGTTTCAAACTGAAAATGTATCTCAGCTGAGACTAAGTGAAGTCCTGTCAGACAAGAGAATTCTGTTGCATGAAGGTAAAATGACCTGTTGCTCAAGGCATTTGCAAAGTCATTTCTTACTGATCAGAGCAGAGGAATCCATGAGCACCTTCTAGACAGAATATATTTGTTTGAGGGTTCTGTAACAGCAATTGCTCATGTTCTCCATAAATAGAAAGGCTTCTTGATCGGGTTTGTCATGTTCTCTGGACCACTTAGTCTTGAGTTTGTCTTGCCACACATTAAGCAGCAGTTTACTGTAGTTGGAGGGTTACCATTTATACTGATGGGTGCTTGAAAACTTGGGGTGTTCATTCCTCTGTACTTAAGAATTAATTTGGCCTTTCCTCCTGACAGATTAGTAAAGCAGAAATTGTCACCAAAATGGCTAGTGGGATTGCATAGTAGATAGTTCCTCAGTTTTGCTAAAATAAGAGTCTTCCAAATATTGTTAGGTTTTTCAGAATTCATAGTGGATTACTTGTTAAATATTTGCTCAATGCTGAAATATCTTCTTCCTTCACAACTAAAATACCCTGGAATTTGAATTTCACTGAATTTCTGGTTGTAGCCCTTTCATTGCAATGCAGAACAAAAGTAACCTTCTAAGAATCTGGATATGGCTGAACAGAAATTCTTTTATCCAAGTCACTCTAGGTTTGGTTATGCTTCAAAGGCACATTGTGAATCCCCCTTTCAGTATCATGCAGTGAGAGATACAGCCTGAGTGGGATGCTTGCTTTGTCGGTCCTGAGGTCTTGTCAAGCTGATCACTAGTCAGTCATCAATTAGGCAGGCAGGGGTTTGTGTGGGAAGGGCGCTGGAGTTTTTTCTTATTACACAGTTCATGGATCAGTAGGTAACAAGAACCTTTTTCAGGCTCTGTTGGTATTTTTCCTTGAGAAACAACACCCTGTGATAGTATTGTTCTCTTTATTGGTGCCTTGCATTTATTTAAACTGGATCGTATATTTGTGTCTTAATTGTAGTGATTTTCTAACCATGGCGTATGAACATAAATTTGTCCATTACACTTTTTCTTTAATTTCCTTTCTAGACGACAGAACATTATCTTTTCTTTCAAGATTAATTCACTTTAAACGGATGTAAAATAAAAAACGTGGACTTGATAGCTTCTCAATGTAAATCACATGTGTGTGATAGCAAGAATGCTCAGTACATGAAGGAGTAGTCACCATAGGCAGAATGCAAAAGAAGAGGTAAAGAGGTAAAAATAGTTGCCAAAAATCATTCAGAGGTTCGGTGGCAAAATAACACAGAAGAGCGCACGTGTCTTCTCCTCTTGTTCTCCTGTAAGTTAGAGCAGCTTCCTGGCATAATTGCCAGGCCTCCTGCTTGGTGCTTTCTTGAAAGTGCCTCAACTGCATGGGCCATCAGTCCAAATCTGTTCTTGCTGTGGACTATTACAGCATTTATTTCCATGTGCAGAGCACATGGAAATAAAAAGCCATCTGTGGCTGTATTTGTGATGTGACTTTTCACATCCCTTCTTCCATTAGAGAAGGAGCTCTGTTGGCGTGACTGGTGGTTTGGAATTTCACACTTGGGTTAGTTGTGTTTGAGAGGGGAAAGATGCAGGTTTATTGGTGGCTTTTGTGGACTCAAAGCCTGATGCAGTTTACAGATCCAGAAGAAGGCAGAAGAATGTAATCATGCTCTCATGCTGCCTGTTATGCCAGCCATTAACTGCTGGAAGAAGATCAGTATTGTGCTCATTGTCATTAAAAGGAAGAAATTAAACCTCCCTTTGCGGAAAAATCATACAAGGGAGATGTGCTTTTGCAGAGTGAGTCACCTCCTCACTTTAACTTTTTCACTTTAAGTAAAGGATAAATCCATTCTTGATCTCATGAACAATGCAGGTAGGCAGGAGGGTGATTTTTGCCTTTTTCTTTTTTTGTTTTGCCTTCTAATCAAGTACACCTCATGACCTACTGCTGCTCCAAATCCATGAATATATGTATGAATGTATGAAAATCCTGTGCTTTCAGGATGTGTTATATAAAAACACCCCAGCATATCTAGATTATGTATGATCAATTCACACAGCTGTTTTTGCTAGAAAAGTCTTTGCAGAGCCAGGCCTGATGTCAGAATCAAATATTTAGTAGTTGTTTGACTTCTAGTGAACAGTAAATTAGTATCCTGGCTTTAAAATATTTTGCTGTTAGTGACTGTACAGCTGACTCTATACCTGTCACACCCCACCAAGTACTAACATTTACCAAACACCACATATACCAGTAACTAGGAGAGGCAGAACCAGCTGGTTTCTCCCCTAAAAAGTCACAGAGTTGTTGCTCATGGGCCATCTGTCATAAGGTCTTAACTATTTGCGGGCTTGGGATAATGGTCTGTGTTCTGAACCCTCCTAAGCACACAGCTTCCACCACAGGGAGTAGTTCACAAGCACAGCTGCTCTTTTCTCTCGAAATGTTTCAGCCATGTCCTGCTGGTAGAAGAGAATTCCCAGAAATGCTTTTCCCAGCGCTTTTTTGAGACTCCTTTCAGTCCAGAGCTCTCAGATTGCCAGCCAGCTCTGTAGATGCTTTTATACATTGAGAACAGGAACTGTGGAAATTCCTCGCAGAGCACAAATGCTGATTGCATTTCCCATGATAAATCTATTCCCCTTCCCCATCTTGAATTCATGTGCTGCTAGAAACCTTCTCTTTATACCATGACTTATCTCTTTAAGTGTCTGCTATGTAACTATGTAAATACTGGTGGCGTATCTCTGATAGAGATTGTCACTGCATTGCTACTGGTAACCAGTGGTTATGTCACTTTCCCTCGCTTGAATAGGCTTTGACTCATAGTGGTTTTCAGGACAATGGTTATAAAATAACACACTGAAGAGTTGCCGAGACTATAGTTTTGCAATAGAGACAACTATCGACCTCAAGGCTACAAGAAAGCATTTTTCTTCTTTTTCTGAAGGATTTTGTTCTTTTATAGCATGAGATTTTCTTGCATGGAAGTTTGCAAAACAAGAAGTCTATGTTAGCAAGCTGGAGCCTAGAGGGAAAACTCCACACCCCTGAGTACAAATGCTCATTCTTTCTAACTCTTCTGAAGTACTGCTTAACCGAAATTTTAAGTGCTTCAGTTGTCCCACCTTTCTTTGGATTATTTGCTGGCAGGCTGTACCATACATTGGGTTATTGTCTGATGTGAGTGATGGCAGAAAGAAGTACTGAAACCAGTGCTTATTTAATTCTTTTTCTAGTTAAAGGACTTGCTTAGGAACAGCAGTTAGATGTTAAACATTTTTTTTTCTTTCTTTTTTTTTTTTTCTTTTTTAAAGATTAAAGAGCTCTAGAGACAGGGCTAAATTTTTGGCAGATGCTGAATGTCTTCACATCACAGGAATCAAAAGACAAATGAGAGGTCTGATAGCTGGCTTCTGTTTCCAGGTACATATCTGATTTTTCTGTATAAGCATAATGTTGCCTATACACGGACACAAGCATCACAAAATTAGTGTGCATCATTAAATGTTTAAAATTGCTTAAAATCCGGATTTTCACTGATTTTTCCTCTTGAAATCTAAAGTCATTTGAATTTTCTCAAGTATCCTACCCTAAACAAGGTCTTGCAAAACTCAGGTTGACTCTCCTTTCTTTCATCTTTTCTTCTGTCCATTCAAGCTCCACAGGCAGGGCTCATTCCTTAATACCTGCTTAGTTTACACAGTCTAAACTGGGGAGTCCAGACACTTCTGCCAGTAAGAAAATGGAAATTAATTCCTTCATCCCCTCTCTTGAGCTTCGTGAGGAGGCTGATTATACCAGTAATAGGATATTATCAGAAATTTCAAATTCTGCAGTGGATTTTAAGACAGTGTGAAAAGTGCTCTATATTTTTAGAATGTATGTATACATAACGTGGACATTTCTGGTAACTGTAAATATGCATAAAGCTGCAAACAAAAAGCATTACACAACTTGTTTTAGAACAGCTTCTTTTCTGTAGTAGCACAGGTGATTTTCTCCCTAGACTACATTTAGCATAGACAGTTACACAACTCGTGCAACTCTCATCTAACGAGAATTGGTGGGAACATGCAGATCGAAATGGTCAACAGAGCTGCTCTTAAATGAAACAAAGATACATCAGAAGGCATGTGCTTTTTATCGAGAATCTGGCACGGGCAGGTAGAGCTGTGCAACATGCCACACTGCAAAACTAAATAAACACAACGTTTTGCTTCTAATATTTTCCTTAGTTGTTCTAAAACCAGGAGTACCTGACATTAAAATAGCTTCACTACTACATAGATTCCCTTAAAGAGAATGATTAACTGTGTAGCTACAAAGCTTCACTATTCCAGTTCTAGCAGGAAATGGCATTTTCGCTTTTCAAAATCACCTCGAGCCGATGTTTCTTTCGCATTACGGAGGTACCAGAACACCGAACCCCGGAGCGCATTCCGCGAGGCGCCCGTGCGGACCAGCGGGTCACACCGCACTCCGCTCACGGTGTGCCCGGTGGGCAGCGCTCCACAGCCCAGCGCCACCGTTCTCCGCACGCCTCGAACCGCCCCGCGCCGGGGAAGCGCTGCCGGGACGGGGTGTTCGAGGGGGCGGAGGAACCGTCCCGGGCGGGGGGCGGTGGGCACCGGGACCGGAGCGGGGCGGCCCCTCCCGGTGCGGGCCGGGCCCGGCGCGTTACAAAACCGCCTGGTTTTGTAACAACCTGCGGGCGCTGCCCAATGAGCGCCGCCGCCGTCGTCACGTGCCCGCCTTTATATAAGCGGCGGCGGCGGCGCGGGGCGCTCCCGGCGCGGGGCGGCAGCAGCACCATGGGCCGGCGGCGCCGCGCCGCGCCCGCGCCTCACGGCGTCCCGCGCCGCCCGCCGCGCTAGAGCCGCTGCCATGGGCTCGCACCTGCCGCCGCGCCCCGAGCCCCAGCTGGTGCTGCAGCTGGCGGCCGGGGCTCTGCAGGCGCAGAACTTGGAGGCGCCGGGCGGCGGCCTGGGGCCCGAGTGGCAGGTGCTGCTCGGGCGGGCGGACGCGCTGGCCTTCGGCGGGCGGCTGCACGAGGCGCTGCCGCTGTACCAGCTGGCGTCCCGCCACCAGCAGCTGCGCGCCGAGCAGCTGGAGAAGCTGGTGGAGTGCCTGGCTCAGAGCGTCCGGATCAAAGAGGGGCTGCCCGGCGGCGGGCAGCCCGCGGCACCCCGCGACTGGGACGTCTTCAGGTGCCGCAAATGCCAGGGCTTCCTCTTCGAGCCCGTTTCCTTGCCTTGCGGACACACGTTCTGCAAAAAGTGCCTGGAGAGGGACCGGGCGCCCGAGTCCCGCTGCGTCCTGTGCAAGGAGGCGGGCGGCGCGGCGGCCGGGCAGCTCCTGCGGGTCAATGTCATCCTTAGCAACCTGCTGACCAAGTGGTTCCCCTGCCAAGTGAAGGCTTCGCAGCTCCGGCACGAAGGGAACCTCCTCTACAAGGAGAAGAAGCTCCAAGCCGCCCTGCAGAAGTACAACGAAGCAGTCAGTCTAGGTAAGGGCTCCCCCTCCCCGGTGCCGGTCCCCGGCTCCACGCCGGGGGAGATAACTTTGCGCCGGCCGGGGCTCGCTGGCGGCCTCTCCGGCGCCTCTCGTCCCACCGGGAATACCCCGGTGTCCGGGAGCGTGCCAGGGACGCGCTCCCGCTCGCCGCCGGCTCCCCGGGCCGGGTCCTGGGGCGGGTGTCGGGAAAGCCCTGGAGGGGAGCCCCAGGGAGGGGTCTCGGCCCTTCGGCCCGCGGTGAAACTGGGTCAGGAGAGCAGCGGTTGCGTAAGCCCGAGCCTGCGGTCCGGCTGGGCTCCCCCCGGCCGGCGCCGTTGTGTAACCGGCGGAGCCGGGGGGGCGCGGAGCGCCGCGCCCCGGGAAGGGCTCTGGGGAGCCCCGCCGAGCACCCCCGTGCGCCGAGGAGCCGCTCGCGGCCGAGCGCGGAGGCAGCGGCGGGGATGCGTGTCCGGCAGCGGGCGTGTCCCGCACCCCCGGCCCGCCCGGCCCCGCTCTCCGTCCCCATCGCCGGGAAGCGCCTGCGGGGCTGTGTAGCGAGAACTTTTGATGCGGTCCCCTTCATGCAGTTTCAGGAAAACTGACTCGCGCTGCAAGGACTAAGTAGAAGTTAAAGGCAAGGTATTATAGGGAAGTGTTTCACTTAAATGGAAGTGTTGCCAAGATAAGTGCCCAGCCTTCCCCCAGCACACGCTGTGTCTCGGTGCTACAGTGTGTGTAACTCGGTGATCATTGTAGCGCTACCTGATTCTTCACACTGTCCCTTCTTTTCCTCTGTTTTGAGCTCTGGCATGAAAAGACCCTTATTTATCATTTAAAAACTTTGGTGCTACCAATTTTGAAACTTCTCCCTACACTACAACAGCATTCCTCCTGCTGTGTCTCCTGTGTGTCTCTACCAACTATCTGATCCTCAGTCAGTGCTTGTAATTTATTGTGTGAGTGTCTCAGCATTTATTTATGCAATGTTCTCTTCAGTTATATAATATATGGCTGGTATTTTGTCTCGAGTTGCCCAAAGAGGTTTCCAGATTTAATTTAGTACATAGTTACTTAAAATCTGAGTGTTTCATGGGTTTGTGCAACTTGGAAGCACCAATATGCGTTTAAAAGAAAAAGGAATGAAGCTTATGTAATTAATTTCTTTTTACCTAATCAACTACTTTTTCTATTTCCTACAGCTCCAAATGACCACTTACTATATAGCAACCGGTCCCAGATTAACTCCACGTTGAAAGCTTGTGAAGATGCATTGCATGATGCAGAAACAGCATGCAGGCTGCAGCCATACTGGTTGAAAGTAAGTTCTGACTGGTTACACTTTTTAAAAACCTTGATACTGCCCTGGTAGGAAATGGTTAGAATGGTCAGACAGTAGAATCTGAGGGAGGCTTTAAGTCCTGAAACTTCTTGGACTCCTGCAATCTACAGACATTCAACCATTATATTCCTGAGCTTCCCGAGGTGAAGGAAGAGAGTGCTAGTTCTGGAGAATGAGCTGAGACTATTATCTTTGACTTGCATGAATACAAATTTTGTGAACTCTCTAGAAATTGAATACTAAGGACAAAGTATTGTAGAAGGTGAATATAAGGGAAGTAGATGTTTCCAATATCAGTTGGGCTCAAGTGCCATAAGAATCATACTTTCATGAGTGGAAGAATATCCTGTTTATGCTTATAGTTTTCAGGACTGTTGTATTTGGAAACACAGACACTGGTGGTGTCTAGGTGTTAGACATGGTTATAGTGATTTTTCCTGTCTAACTTCTCCTTCTTCAGAAAGATCTTTTGTACTTTGACCATGGTTTTATTGCATATTCTCTTCACAAAAGCTGCAGCTGTGGGTGTTTCCTTGCAGGGTCACCTAAGGAAAGGACAAGCATTAGCTAATCTGGGGAAAACAGAAGAAGCTTTAAGGGAGTTTCTATTCTGCCTTGCTCTAGATACTGGGAACAAGACAGCCAAGTCTGAGGCACAAAAGGTGAGTTCCCTAAATTATCTGGAACTGCACGGTTGTTTTCAATGGCCTCTCATAAAGGAGGATGAGATTTTTTTCTTTTTCTCTCTTACTGCAGAGAGGTGGATGGAGATACAAATCCAGACTGTTCCTCATATTTGAGTTGTGTATTGCTGGTCTGAAGGTAGGAAGGTAGCAAGAAAATATACTGAGCAGTCATTCAGTGGAAACAGTAACAGTGTTAGCGTCTACAAATTTGAAGGAAAACTGAATTGTTAATAATTGCCACCCACAGACTATTGTGATTTTCAAATTTCTAATCTGATTCCTAGCCTGGCAATCTATTAGCAATGATGGAGTGCAGAAGAAGGGGAATTGCTATTGAATGATGTATCAGGGCAATGACTGGCAGAACACAACACGCAGCACTCATCAAACTCCACTTGGGAGCAGCAGCCTTCTTCCTACTGCCAGTCATGCTGCCCAAGTGTCAGTGTGTGCAGGAGGTGTGAAAGAGGAAGCAGTCAACAAAGGAAGAGTGGTTTTAAATTAGTTTTTTAGGGTTGCTAGTAATTAATGCTAAATAAGCAAAAAAATGGATCTGCTGTGAGGCTTTTTTCAGTTGTAACCTACAATGTGTGTGAATTCTTATATGGCTGTGGTGAATACTGCTATTTTGCCCACCCCTCAAGTCTCTGATATCCTGTAAATCAGTATTTTAACATTTGATTTTTTTGTTGTTGTTGTCATAGTTAAAAGGCTCAGTGTTGCAGTGATTACTTGTGGCAGTAAAAATATAATAGTTTTATTTTCCTTTATGGCAGTGTATTTATGCCATTCTCAATCACTGGTGGAATGGGAACATTAGGGTTTCTATGTGCTGTAGCACATAAGGTTTTCTAAAAGCACAGTAGAATTCTTACAGTAAAACTCTATTCCTGGAGGTAACAGAGTATAACCTGAATGGTTGTAGTGAAATCAGATTTCTATTTCATTTTATATGTGGTTGAGATTTCAACCTCTGAGGATTTTTTGTCACTGATGTTTGAGGGTTTTGTTTGCTTTTTTCCCCGGTGGGTTCCATGCAGTCTTTCATTGTCATTATGTCATGATTTGTGCTCACAGTCATGCTGGAAGACTTTCTGTGCACTAGAGTAAAAAGACCAGAAACAAACAGATATGTTTCTAAATTCTGACTCCAAATAGTCATTTCCAAGCCATTTAATTTCTTAGCAGTGGAGTTCTGAGCAAAACTGGGCTTCTTATGACTGCAGGAATTACTCGTGCACTCATCAGACACAGAGTTCATCCATGATGCAATATTTTACTGGGTCATTTCCAAGGCTGTTCACATAACAGTGACATACTATGTTTTACCAAATTCTTTGGGTGCAGATGTGATGTTCTGCTTGTATTAACTGTCTGCCTGTGTTAGTTTAGACATAGTGTGATCCTGTGAAATCCTTTTTGGCTTTAAATAGAAATCTCAGCTGTCATGTGGCTTCCTCAGGCATCAGCAGGATCACCTCAATAGTATGTTGAAATTAGTTTTTGAAGTGTGAATGTTCTATTCAGGTCTGTTTCTTTCCTTAAATATTCATCTGATAATCTATGCCATACAAGGGGCTTCAAGCTGCTCCTTGAAACAGATGCACTTATTTTCTTATAGCAAATGAAAAAATAGCCTTTTTCTACTGCCTACCTTTTTTGTATTCTCACATAAGTTAATTAAAAATAGCTACATTTTACAATATCAGACACATTTACCCAGCTGATCTTGGATTAAGCCTGTGAGATGAGTGCTTTCTGTACTAGTAAACTCCAATGAAAGATGATGTGCAGCAAAAAAAACCCCAAAAAAACCAAAAACACTCCAAAAACATTTAAGAAAGATGTTGTTAATAATTTCTGGTGAGCCCTGAACTGCAGAACAAAGAGGACAAAGGCATGTGTGTGTCACATCACAGAGAATGGTTAATGACTCTGTGGGCTTGTTTAACTCTGAAAATGTTTCTTGCTGTCTGTTTGGCCTGTATTGCATTAGCTCTTGCACTTTTTGTTCCTACCCTAGTTTAAAGGGCTCTTTAAATGATTTTAACAAAATCCTGGATGCTTCTTTCAGCTATTCCCTCACTTGCTTTTTCATTTAGAGGTTGCAAGGAAGGAACTAAGGAACTAAGCAGTGAAGTGTTCTGTTTTATATCACAGCTTCTACTTAGTTTGTTTTCACTCATCCCGGGAAATGCTCAGGAACACTTACCCGATATCCTGCAGCTGTTGTCACATCACTCTAGATTAAAGGGGAATCTCCTAAATTCAGTGGGATCTGGAGGCACCAGCCATAACCTACAAAGGTTGCTCAAGGTAAAGATCAAGTCTGATGTGTGGTTCTTAATTTGTTGTGTGTTTTGTGTTCACATTGGGAAGCCTTTTCTCCTTTTTGCCTCTGGGAGATAGGAGGAGACATTTTCTCAAATTTTTACTGAGTTTCAGAACATACAAAACAGTGTTAACTTATTGAAATTTCCTTATTTGACTTTTTTTTCTTTAATAGAAATCCTCTGTTGTTCTGGCAGATTTTATGTCAGAATTTACTGGGTTCTACTCCTCTAATTATCTTTATGTTGTTCAAGTAGTTGGTAGTGGAAAAGGGCCTCTGTAGATTGAATTTAGATACCCTCAAAAGTTGTGAAATGCTAAAATCTAGAGCTTCAATTTGAGCTATACTGGTGATGCCAGTAATGAAGTAATTCTTTACTCAGTCTGTACAATACTCAGACGTTATTGTAGAGCTACATAAAATATATTAGCTACTTCATAAGTCTGGTTTTGCAGCTGTAGTTTTGTAAATGGCTGCAGAGGTTTACATTCATAGGTTGTAAGGATCACTTCTGCTCCACTGAAACCTGAACTTTGGGATGGGGTTTGCATATATTATGTATTTAGGAGAAAACTTGGCTAGTCCTTACAAACAAAACTGGTAGGTTTTGAGCTGCCTTGTTGAGGCTGATGAGAAACAATCAGTGACATTGCCCCATGCAAAGGCTGTTAGAATATTTCTGACAAGAAACCCTTTTGCATGACTCTTTCACAAAGCCATCCAAGGGACAGTTCACTCATCTTTCTGCATATTACACATCACAATCCATGGTGTCTGTTTTCAGGTCCATCCAGGGAAGTGATGTTACAAAGTTGACAGGTGATGTCCTGTGCAGTGGCTGCTCACAGGAAGTCCTGTGGCCATAATGGATAAACCCTGAACAGTTTATCCTGAGAAAGGAATCTGCCTTCCGAGAGGAAGCTCTGGGCATTTTTTTCTATTAAAAATTTTGTGTGTTTTTACTGCTTCCTTAGAATGAGCTGATGTTGTTTTGGTTTTCCTGTTGGTTGATACCATCACCATGATATAAACAATATGCATTTTCTCATAGGTTCAGTGATAACAATATATTTAACATGAGACTAGCCACATTTCTGTCTGAATCCAGTTTCACAACCTTCAAGCTCTAAAGCCACACAAAAGGGCTGAAAATACTCAGTGGTGGAGAGGGGAAATCAAGTTTGTTGATTGCTTGCTTTTTGGGGTTTGGGGTTTTTTTAATTAGAATTATCAATTCTCAAACTCTTGCTTCTTGACCTACAAAGTCCTTCCTGGTGATCCATAATATTAAGGATTTTTGACAGATTGAGTTTTTTCCTTACCAAATTGTTGGAAGATTGGTCTAATGTCAGTCCTCTCTTCACACAGGTCAATGTGGAACAGAAAAAGGGTTTTTCCATTCAAGAGGAACCAAATGTAACTACTTCTGGTAGTTTGAGGAAATCTGTACAAATTACAGAGAGCAAAAAGGACTGCTCAGAGGAGGAGAACAAATTCACCTCCATGCCAGAATCTGCTTTTCTCATCTCTGACAAATGCAGCCTCCTGAAAAGGAAGTGCTGCTCAGAGGAGATGCGAAATGCTGAGGTGCCCTGCAAACTGATGAAAAAAGGTAGGTTTAATTATACACAGGACAGGTTCCATGGCATGCAACCTGTGGAAACTTTTCTTTTGTAAGATTCAGACAAAGAGATACCAAATTACACTTTGCCTTTTATATTTTCTCTTTTGCCTAATCAACACATGCATGTTGTGGAATCTTTCCTGTGTGTAGAGAGAAAAAAAGTCTAAAAAGGGGCAAAGAAGTTTGGGTCATGCTTTTCTCAGTAGAGCTCTGAATCTTTTAAAGAACAGCAGTGTTGCACATGGTCTTAGCACTTTCTATAACAATTTTAAAAGTTTAAAAGTACAGACTCTATTTGTTCTTGATATCTGGTCTTGTTTTCATGCTGTGGAATGTATTTATACCATTTATAATGGTATGAGAGGAAAATATGTCTCACTTTAGACTTTCAGCACTAACAAAGTGTTTTGGCATTGATTGCTAATGCAAGGCCAGATTGAATCCTCTGTAGGTGGATATAATGTGACCAAAATTAAGGGGAGATGTGCAGATTTGTGCCAAGGCTGAATTTGAAGCTTTGCATAGAAATTACTATAATGATGCTTCATGGTTCAGTAAGTTGCAAGTATATACAACACACATTAAAATATCAGGTGCTTGTGTAAATACATGAGATAGCATTGTGCTTGCATAGTTCTGTTCAATTACTTTTTTTTTTTGTTTTTAGATGTAGTTGATACCAAGGAAAATAGTACTGGACAGCATATTCCATTTGAAGTTGTGGATCCATCAGATTTGGACTGCTCCCTGTGTATGAGGTGTGTTCTTTTCTCACAGATGTCTATAACTTTCCAGCTGTATCTTCCTCCCTTTTATGACTTAGAGATTTTCTCGCTTACTTGGTACTTATTTTTGCCTGTGACATGAAATTAGCTTTTACTGTGATTGTTACTCCAGTGATGCATTTCTAGACCTTTGGTTCTGAGCACTGTTGATGAATGGGGACTCTTTGATCTTCTCTGGGCTAGTGATTGCTTTGGTAAGGGCACAAAAGTCACGTGAGGGCTAAGCACATTAGTGAAGGTGTCTGAAAGATTTGCTCTCACCACTGACACAGGTCACAAACCCAGGGCTGGTCATCTGGGAATTTGTAGAGCTGTTTGTCACGAAAAGCACGAAATACCTAAAGAGACCACATCCAGTGAATATTCTGAGTTTGCATGTGAAGTACTGTGTTGCTGCTATTTCAATAGGAGGATCTTGAGAGTAAACAAGAGTATGTTTTAATTCTCCTGCATAAGAGATGTGTTCCTCACTTTACTGAGGCAGTCACTCCATTTGCTTGAAGATTTCTTCTTCCAGTTAAACAACAGTTATTCTTGGGAACACTAGTGGCTTAGTCAAACAAGTAGGAATTGTCAACTGCATCTATTTTACAAATTGTTTTGTACAAAATATTTTAACTTTGGCAAATAACATTATGTGGAGGGTTTTCAGTGACTTAGAGATATTGGGAAGGTGTTTCACTTGGCTGCAGTGAGTGTTGCTTAGGCCGTTTGGTCTTTTTAATTACCCAGGTTTATCTGTTATTCATGTTGGAGTTTAGTTTTGCACGATATTTTTTAATTCTTAAATAGCAGATAGCCTCTTTAGGGATTTACTTCTGAAGGCCTGTGTTTTGAGAAATTTGGGGTTTGTTGTTTGTATGCAGAGGAGGAGACTTCAATTTGTTTCAGATAAACTGAAAGCTTTGAGGACCAACTGCTGTATTGTCTGATTTGCTTCTGCTTGGAATAAATCAGATCTTCCCACTCTCCCTGTCTACAGCTGAAATATGTTCCAAAAGTTTATGCAGCTGTCAAAACAGTCAATAGTGCAAAGAGCAAAACTTTCCTCTAACAGAAAGCCACACAATTACTTAGATGGTTTAGTGATTCTGCTTGTTTATTGCGTCCACAAAGCATTTTTATGACGTTTTAAATAAAATTAATCCTACTTTCTCATCCTCTATGTTAAATCAGAAACAGACAGACTGCAATATATTGTAAAGGAATTAGCCCAAGGATTGCTGTTTCCCTTACAGCATAGAGGATGGTATAGGTGCTGCACTTGGAATTGTAACCCCAAACACCGGCCGTGCCTTCAGAAGGATGTTAGCTTTGTAACATCACTGCACAGGGAAGGCCTGTGCTCAGGAAAGCTCTCCTAAGATCTTTCTTGTTGTTTATGCAGACCAATTATAATTATTTCCTGCTATGTTCTTCAGAAGTGTTTTGGGGATTTGGTTCCTGAGATAGTTTGGACTAATTACCTAGTAACCTACTGACCTGTTCACAATTAACTGCAGGAGCTGTTATTAACCTGTTTGTCTGATGGAGTGGCCAAAACGTTATTGATCTACCTTTGCTCCTGCAGCAAGCAGAAAATACAAAGTAGTCAAAGCTACATGCTGGTGAGAAAAGGAGCATTACTCTTCAGCAATTTAGTTTCTGCTATTACAGTAGCTCAAAATAATGTCATGAGAAGTCTTGGTGTGTAGTGTTCCTTTCTGCAAGTCATGGAGCTTGTCCAGGTCCTCTTAGAGTCGTTAGGAAAAGTTGCTGCTGGCTTTTGTGAGAGCTAGGGCAGACTGGGGAATCTTAACAGGAGTATCTTGTCTTTATGCTACATTTCAGATAAGTCAGTGCCTACCAAGTTATTACATATACAGTGCAGTGCTTTCTGGAACGTGGGGTAGGATTCAGTGTTGCACATAGCTTATGTGAGGTTTCTGTCCATGAAACAGTTAACAACTGTTTTCAATTACACTGTCAGTTGCAATAAGATAGGTGTGGCATTTTAGATACTATTTCATGTGCTCCATTGCTTAAATGTCAATGTTTTTAGTAACTAATGACATTTAATGAGCTCTCTATGACAGTCTTGTTAAAAGCCACTTGCATTCTTAAATGCACTCATCTTGTGAAAGATGCTAATAAATGTGGGTTTATGTATTGTAATTTCCACATGTTTAATAGAACATAGTGTACTGTTTTGATAAACTAATACTTTAAAGAAAAATTATTAATTCACTTAACTTATGATGATACTAGTATTTAAGACCTTAAAATGATTAGACAATATGTTATAAAATACAGTACATTACAGACAATTTAGTTTCTAGATTTGAATTATTTCTATTAAAAAAAAAATCTATATTATTTACATCTCCCTAAGGCCTTTATTGACAAGGAAATGTGACTTTGCAATATCACATAATCATAATAAGGAAAAAGAAATCTTTACATGAAAATTAGTGTCATAGAGGCCCTTGAAATGGGTAAAGAATAGGTACCATGATACTTTGAAGACCTGGCCTTATATATTTAGATACTCTTCCAGATGAAACATGAATCTCCTGTCACTCATTTTCCAGAAAAGCAATGACTTGAAGATTAAGAAGTCTATTAAAAAACCGCATTAGAGCTGGCAATAACAGAATCATGAAATTGTTTAGGTCGGAAAAGACCTTCAGGATCTTTGAGTTCCACCATTTATTCCAGAGCTGCCAAGTCCCAGTTTATTGCAATTACTGATGTGAGCTATTACTGAAAATAGGTATTTTGTGCTTAGCTCTACACATACAAGTAATCTCAAAATATCAGTACTAATAGTTGTGCAAGTATTGCTCAATTTCATTAGTGATGTCAGATAGTCCAGCTTCTGGTTCTGTTTATTGCTCACACAGAGGAAAATTAAATACTGGCTTGTTGGAAGTTGTTGACAATATTGTCCCTCCTATTCACTGAAGTCAGAGTTTATGGGCTGCCTTTCATATTGGGTAGCAATAAAAAAAGTCTGTAAGCTGAATAAATACAAAAGTTGGTTGAAGAAATTAAAAGCAAGAAACATCTTTATCCCTGTAGTAGTCAGTAGTTAAGTTAGTGAATGAATTCAGCTTCTTTTGGTAGCAACCGTTTTCTTTTACTTTAGTACACGATATTGTTGTCTTTCTGCTCTTGGCTTTTCCAATCCAGGCTCTTCTATGAACCTGTCACTACACCTTGTGGACATACCTTTTGTCTCAAATGTCTGGAGAGATGCCTGGATCACAACCCAAAATGTCCCTTGTGCAAGGAAGGGCTCTCAGAGGTAATCCTTGGATTTTTTCTGCATAAGTTCAGGTGCAAGTGATAGGAGCAACTTCACCTTCAGACAGCCTCGATATTTCCCAACACAAAAGAAATAATACATAACTCAGGAAGAATGTGACTTTCAAAATGTGAGTTGCCAAGCATGACTAGTCTCTGTTCAAACCTTAGGACCAGACCAATATCTAGAAAATCTGTAGGTGATTTTTACTTTCCAGATTTCCTAAGTAAATGTCTGTAACACAGGGAATAGCTCAAAAAACAACTTCAATGGCAAGTTTAGCAGATGATAGAATCACAGACATCAGAAAATGGGGGTAATTGATGATGTCCTTTGCACAGGCTCCAATCACTGTGAAGTGCTGGATGTCTCTCTAACTGCTTGTGTGTGTTGTTACTGCAGTGCTTGGCTATGAGGAAATACTGTAAAACAGTGCTAATGGAGGAGCTAATAGCCAGATATCTTCCAGAAGAACTCACTGAAAGGAGAAAGATTTATGAAGAGGAAATAGCAGAGCTTTCCAAGTATGTAATCCATTTATGTAAAATCCCATCTCTACTTCTGCTGCTGTTAGCTGTGAATGGCTCTGGCTGCTGTGGATGCTGATGGAGCTTCTTTCTCTGTATCACATGATTTCAGAGAACAGGGTCCAGGTGAAACTGTGCTTGAGTGAGCATAAAAACTAGACACTGCTAAAAAATAAATAAAGAGAAGTAGACGAAATCCAGGAGATTGCTTTATAAACAAAGTACAAGGCAATGTGTTGGCTTTCAGAGGACCTCTATGAAAGGCACAGAGTAAGATAATAGGTGGAAGTGATCTGGCAGCATGGGGTTTGGAATATACTGGATAGGGAAGAAATGGGATTAAGAGAAATAAATAAAAACAGTACTACTAGAGTTCCAATAATGCTTTCACTACCAGATCCAGAAAGCTTAATGAAAAATTTATCTGCTATTAACTGGTATATAATTTTCTAGAGTATTTAGTTAGCTAAAGGGAAAATAATTTTAGTTTTTAGCATTCCATTAAGAATGGAATTAAGCTTTTACCAGTAATTTAGCTTTCTTTATTCCATTAAGAATTTTATTCTAAACATGTTATAACTTCTATTTAAAGATGCCATAATTTTAAAGAATATGAGACTTAATGTGTCAGTAGATTGGTAAAGCATCATATCTGATTTTTCCTTTCTTTCTTACAGCCTAAATAAGAATGTTCCCATATTTGTGTGCACAATGGCTTATCCTACAGTCCCATGTCCTTTGCACATCTTTGAGCCGTGTTATCGGCTCATGATCCGGAGGTGCATGGAGACTGGCACCAAACAGTTTGGGATGTGCATCAGCGACCCTGTCAAGGGGTGAGTGAACAGCTTGGACCCTGTGAGGTACCCACTTAGTCTGGAGCCAGTGGAGAGGTGCAGAAAGGTCCATGGATGTAATATCTGTGGTAATTTTCCACTAGAGAAAGTTTCTTCCTAATGCAGGTTAAAGACATTGAGAAGATAGAAGTCTTTCCCTTGAGCACTTGGATTCTGACTAATATGATGGTCTGTTCTCTCAAAACACTCATAACTGAATGTGTGGCACATGTGATTGAGCTGCAGACCTCCTGTAGTACATGAAAAGAAGTGTATTTTTCTCCTGCTTTCAAATCTGATGAATGTTTTGGCACAAGAAATTGAAATGGCAGTAGGGTCTGTTCTTGGGCTAAATTTCCTTAAATTATGGGATGTGGTTATATCCTCACTGTTCTGAGTATAGTGGAGGCTGCAGAGGTATAACAGGACCTTCATAAGGACTGGCAGAGCATTTTCATTGAGCCATTTACAATCAGTCTTGGCTAATTTGACTTCAACGTTTGACTCTATTTAGCTTTTCTCCCTTCTTTTTATGTTATAAACCTACTGGGTATGTATAGTCTGGGAAAAGTATAATTTGCAGAAAATACCCACCTGCAAAGTAAAATCTGCTGAAATTGTTCAAAAACTTTTTTCTTCATAGATTTCTTAGTCCTTCTGTACTGCTAATATTCTGAATTGCACTTGTCCTTCTGTACAAATTGACTGAACATATTAGCATTATGGGAAAAGTTTGCTTCTGATCTGTGTATCTTCCAGTTTCATAAGATGTTCCCTGTATTCCAAAATATCCAGTTAGCAATTAATCAGATTAGACAGTCTGAATCTTCCTGATAGATTTGCAAACAATTGTGGAATAATTTGAACTACAGCAGGTCAGTGCTATGAACAATAGAAATGAGCTGACATGGGTAAATACCTTTGTGGTAGGGACTGGCTGTATGGCAGCTCTGTGGAACTCAGGGTGGAGAGAATAAGACTTGTTTACTTGCTTTTGTTCTGATTTCAATAGGTTTGCAGATTATGGCTGCATTCTGGAGATAAGAAATGTTGAATTCTTTGCTGATGGTCGTTCTGTTGTAGACAGCATTGGCAAGAGGAGATTTAAGGTGATCCAGCATAGCCAGCGTGATGGATACAATACAGCAGATATTGAGTACATTGAGGATCAAAAGGTAAATTTAGAAATATTTCATTTAAACTGTATTACATGTGAAATTCTAAGCATGTATATTTTTAGTGAGTTCTTTTTTTTGTAGAAGTTTCTAATAAAACAAATTTGTGGTATTTAATAAACTGCTCATGGTTAAGGTGGGACACATAATAGTTAACACAAGCACATACATACACTGCCCATGTACTGAAGAGTGTTTCCTGGAGGTATTTATTAGAGGACAAGACTAAGTGAATCCAGGATGAGCTCTTACTGCTCTTCCAGATAGAAAAACAGGAGTTTATAAGAGGGTGGAGAGGGAACCTGACAATATTTGTATGGAAGTCAGTTAGAAAATCCACATTTAGGTAAGAAGCAGCAGGATTTGGGTGCACCATAACCTTCAAAATTGCTTGTGTTAATTGTGTTAATTCTTAGGAGCTTTTGGTATGTAATGGGAAGATAAAATGTCTACTCTGAGGCTCTCCTGATTTTTATTTTTTTTTTTAATAAAGCTTTGCATAACTTCCTGGTTTTGTGTGGTATTTGTGTAAAGGTTCTTTCACACAACAATCCAGACAGTGAAAATTCTACAAATAGATATTTTTGGTTTTGAATACAGGCAAAGTGAAGAATTTGGATAGAGGAGGGGCATGAGTAGGGGAAACACCAAATGAGCTCTCAGTATTTATTCCAAAACTCTTTTGGCATGCTTTTTTTTTTTCTTTTCCTTTTCCCTAGCCACCCCTGAAAATCTTGAAAATCCTATGCCTTCCCCAACATGCAGACTGAACTAACAGTAACCTCCCTCCTCTCATTTCTCATTCCAGGTGCAAGGACAAGAGTATGCTGCATTACTTGTTCTCCATGACTCTGTCTATGATCAGGCTTATACGTGGTTTAACTCCCTCAAGCAAGCACTCAAAAGTCGAATTCTCAGTCATTTTGGTCCAATGCCAGCCAAGGATCCTGACCCACAGGTATCCAGAATCAGTGGCTTATGTAACTTTTAGAGACAGAAATAGCAGGGATATCCGATAAGCTGGCAGGCATTGTGTTTTGAGATGAAAATATGAATACTCTGCATTTACCCCCCGTAAGCTGAGCTTCTAAATTCTGTTGCCACACACCAGTGGTAGCACAGTGGCGAAGAAAAAAGCTCATATTTAATGTTGATAACTTTCTGAGACTATTTATCTCACTGCATTAATCCCAGGAGACCGAACTGCCTTTTGGCTTGTGCTACTTTCTCAGTTAAATGACTGAGAGTAAATAGGAAACTGGAAAATTTGTTACTTTTTTTAAAAGTCTGCAAATGGTGGGGTCCTAAAATAACAGAATATAACAATAAGAGCTAAATATGAGGTAGTATCATAAAGTATGGAGAAGGAAGACAGGAATCTAAAGAGCTGGGTCAGTAATAACACGGGGGGAAAAATTGGTTTAAAAAAATCCAGAAGGCCCAGCCTATAAATTGTTGATAGTAATAGAAATGCCTTTAACATCCTATTTTTAGGAAAGGTGTCACTTGTTTGTAACGTTTCAGGCCAACCAGTAATCACAAGCCATTAGGCTGGCAGTGAAATAATCTACTTGCTACACTGCTATCAAAAACTGTGTTTTCAGAGTTAAATCCTCAAAAACAAGACCTTACCAGCTATATGAATCCTAACTTCTGATTTACTTTTTACCCCTGACTGCAGGCTAACCCCAACGGGCCAGCCTGGTGCTGGTGGGTGCTGGCTGTCCTTCCCCTGGAGAACAGAGCTCAGCTCCCGTTCCTTGCCATGAAATCCCTCAAAGACCGCTTGAATGGCATCAGACGTGTCCTTACCTTCATGTCTCGCACGAGATCACGGTGATGGTGAGGAGCAGAGCTGGGCAGGCTCCCTCAGTCCTTGACTGCAGACTGTCTCTTGTAACTTCATCTAACTGCAATAATGTCTTACAGAGTTGAGTTGTTAGGATGTTTCAAGACTGAATTTCAAAGAGAATGAGTTATAAAGAGCAGGGGATGTTTATGGATACTTCAATAGTTTCCATTTGGAACTGAGATCACTGCACTGCTAAATTAACAACAAATGTGATAGAACAAAAAGTGATCTTGTTTGCCATAAACCTTTTGAAAATCCTAAGGTTTTTTTTTAATTTATTTTATTTTATTTTTTAGTGGATAAAGGATAAACTGTGCAGTTTAATGTGAAGCAGAAATAATAAGGTTAATGCATTATTTCAGTGAACTGCAAAGTCTTTTATTCAAATGGTTCAGGTTTTATATAGCATTGTGTAAAATAATGTTCACAACTTCTGTTTGATAATTTATTTTTGCACTATGATTTTTTGTTTCAAAATGTATATTATTTATGTGTTCATTCACTAAAGGAAAGTGAGCTGCTCTATTTATAGTGTTTTTACCCTGTATTTATGACTGGGGGCAAAAATGATTATTCTAGCAGTGCAGAAGCAACTGCTTTGATAATTTTTCAGTTATTTGTGTTCAAATACTTTGAATGTTTTTCTACTCATTCCCAGAACTATTCTAGCTTAAGAACACCCCCAAAACATCCTGCCTTGAAGTCTTTGAATACACAGATTGTCTGAGTTAATTCAAGCACAGCTGTTGAAGGTTCATCCTATGCTTGTGACGAGGTTCCTGATACAACCAACCAGTCAAGCACCTGCTTAAGCATGTGTTTAAGTGCTTGGGTAAATTCAAGTATTGATGGTTGATGTCAGTGGGAATTGACCATAGTGGTGACAGGAGGATCTATCCTCTAATATTTCACAGAACAGAATAACTTGAAGTTGAATTTATATCTGAACTCTTTCTTGCAAAAATGGACAATGGCTACAAACAACTGCGAAGAAAGAGCTGCAGTATATGGAAAGTGGCTTATCCTAGAGAAAACTGGAAGTACTGGTGTAACTTCATTGTAGGTTAATACATAGATTTTTTTTTTTTCCCATCAACTCTTGTTGCTGTTAAGATGAGTTTTATTTCTTTTAATTGTTTGGTGGGATTTGGCTTTGGAGTGTGTATATGGGGGGGGGGGTATTTTGAACTGTAGGACTCAGAGGGTAGTTTGTGTCACATAAGAAGGAATATGTTGTAATAAATGCTATTTATTTCACTCCAATCTTCAGGTTTCTGTTAGCTTCAAATCTCTACCCAGCCATTGCTTTTCTCTTAAGAGATTGGGTAGTGTTGCTAATAATAGTTATTTCCCAAGGAAAGCAAGTGAATTTTAGCATGATTACTTCTAGCTATAAAGCAGGTAAAATTAGGGCAGAAATGAGAACAGGAAGTATCTTGGTTTTGATTTTTTTTTTTTTTAAATCAACAGTTCATATACTTGTTTTGCTGCTTTTATTGCTTACAGTGTACCACTTTCTGGGACCGATCTTACCTCCATCTGATTTTGACTTTCACTGATTTCAATGTGAGCAAAACTGGGCCTTTTAGTCTAAGCTGCTGCTTTCCTTTTCTATGGCAAAAACTAGAATTAAGTGAGAATGTTATGGAATGCTATCAATTTCCTTGGATTTTTTTACACGGGATAGCACTCTGCCATTTCATGCCTTTATGAAAAAAATGCAGTAGAATTTAATGTCATTTTTCTGCATGTTTTTCCATTATCTCTATTATTTTCCATTATTAGTTAAAAGTAGTTTCCATAAAGCTACCTTTGTTCCCCTTTTGTTAAATTCTGTAGAACTTTTTTATAAGGGTACCAAAGAAACAAATGGAAGACAAATATGTTTCACCCTTGTGGTACACATGGAATCTGTATCCTATTTGCATTGAGCTACTTTGGAAATGCTGTAACTTCCTTCCATACTGCTGGATTGCTGCATGTCCTCCATGAGTGGTACTTGGCATGCTGTAAACAATATATAAAAACACCAACGTGTTCTGAACAGTACCAAGTGATGGTGGCTGACACCTGCTATGGCATTTTGTCTTCATAAGTCAACAACAAAGTGATTTCTACTCGTTTGGAAGTGAAGCTGCATTAAATGCAATTCTTCCACAAACCATTATGTACTATTGCAGAGCATAAGTGTCTCATATTGCTCCCACAGGAAAAAAACTTCCACTTTTGTAACTCTTATCTGTGAGAAAATGAGCTTAAATACCTAATTTAAACTGTTTTCTCACTGATGTAATTAGTTATTTTATCCTGCATGGTGTGTCTTCTACATACTCATTCTGCCTATTCTGTTGTTTTAGAAACTGTCATGGAAAGAATCCTTAATTTTAAAGATGAATATTGTCTTTTCTGTTAGCCTTGAGTAAAGCTGCCAGAATTTCCAAGCAGAGACTTGTGTACCTGCCCTGTATTGTGAACACCCAGTGCATTTGTTGCAGTCTGGAAACACTTGACCTACTGCATTTAATGCAAACAGGTGATCTGCATATGCACAACAAATCTAAATTCCATCTGTACAGTACAGATGCAGAACTGGACAGGTACAGTAGCATTTTCTCTAGGGCTGCTCTATGGCCACACATCCTAGATTAATGGCTAAAGTCTGCAAATTCCATCAGAAACGAAAAATAATACTGAGGAAGATATATGCTAAAGAACACAAACCTGTCCAAGAAAAACTGGACAAGGAGTACCCTTCATTATGCTGAGGTGGTAAAATTTCAGTAATGATATTTAAAACCAAAAAAAAAATTTAGGTATGCCACACTATCACTGATTTTTTTTTTTTTTTTTCAGTTGCATAAATAAGTACAAGGATGTAAATGCAACGTTTATCACAGGCATGAATAAACAGCTGAACAGATTTAAAAATACCTCCAGTTTAATTATAGAAATAGCATTGATCAGATAAAATACTAATTGGAGGAATGTTTTATTTAAGCTGCTCACACTTTTTCTGGGCACCAAACCTAGTTTTATAACCAGTCTTATTCATCTGCTAGAAACGAAAAACCCAATAGACCAAATCATGGCTCAAACTTGCATTTCCTGTGTGGTCAGAAGTATTGATTAATCGTTGTGGGGGCATAAGTAATGCATAGGCTACTTAGACAGTAGTTCAGTAGTTTTAATAATGAAATGATAAAATGGTGTGATAGGCCTTTATGGTAAGTTTTAGGTGACATACTGGTGTTAGTTGTAGAAATTCCTCTTGCTTTTTTTCTGTAATTACTTTAAGTGCTGCTATCTTCCATTACAATGTAGCAATAAGAGATCCTGGCTGTCAGACTGAATGGCTGATGTCCTTCTGTCCTGTATGACTGCTTACTGACAGAACACCTCAACCATGGATTTATTAATCCAAAGATTGTTTTAATCTTTTTAAAAAAAAGTGGATTTGGATGTAGCAGGTCTGTCTTAATCTGTGCTGTAGAGAAAGAGCTTCATAGAGTTGAGTTCTGTTTTAGATGGTCTTTTCAGAATCATAGAATCCCAGGATGGAAGGGACCTCAAGGATCAGCTGGTCCAACTTTTCTTGGCAAAAGCATGGTCTAGACAAGACGGTCCAGCAGGCTATCCAGCCAAATCTTACAAGTGTCCAATGTTGGGAAGTCCAACACTTCCCTGGGAAGATTATTCCAATGGCTGATTGTTCTCATGGTGAAAAATTTTCTTTTTAATTATTTCTACTTGGTGCTGAAGTTTTACTGGTGTTTAAATCAATGAGAGGAGTTGTATTTAAATGCAATGTTTAGGAATGGAGAACATGTTCACAAACACTTATTTAAAAAAGAAAGTGAAATTTAACTATAGGGTTTTTTTGTGCATAAAAGCCCCCATGGACCTATATGCACTTGGGTATGTATATGGGTAGTGCTCCCCATTTCCCCCAAGTCCTACATCAGATAAACACAGTCCCTCTTTTCAACCTCTTAGTTCTCATTTAATTCACAGCTGAAACTGTAACTAGTGCAGCACCTGGTTTAGGAACTGGGGTTTATTTCCACAGCCCAGTAAATTACTGGAAGTCTTATGGCAATAGCAAAATGGTAGTTTGAGCAAAGTCACTCTCTTGAAACACTTTGCTAAATAAATATTGTCTGAAAGGAGAAAGAAACTAATCTGCTTAGACGGGATTAAAATGGTGGATAATAAAAACCTGAATTATTACATTGACTTACTCATCCAGGTATCATGTGAAGTGCTTACTAATGTTGGATTTTCATAAGGTCTAAAGTAACCCTCACATAGAAGTGCCTGTATTATGTTATTGCCATTCTTGAGCTTTTTAATAGTCATAGCCATATATTTTATAAATATAAAACATATGCACCTTTTAATCTTTACATTCAGTTTGCAGAACAAAGGTTTACAGAGCAGAAGTGTAGCAAAAACAATGTAATAGCTTCTATAATTCCCTGATAAGGAACAGGAGAAGTACAAAAATAAGGAGCAAAAGACTATCTGTGTAAGATGTCTTAATTTGGAATCATATACTTGTCCAATTTAATTCCATCAAGCTATGTGGTTACAAGAGTGCCAGAAATATATCTCTCAAGCCATTTTAAATAAAAAGTTTTGTGGACTTGTATATTCCATTTGTTTGTAAAACATCCTTTTGTGCACTGTAATGAACTTGAAATGAAACTTAAGTTATACTCTCATATCACTGGACAGAGTACTGTTCAGCTACCTCTACATAAGTTTGAAGTAATTTGTTTTTTTCCGGATTTGTTTGCATTGTCATATAAAATATATTTTAAAAACTCATAGTCCAAAGAACCTGTACGTGTTTGTAGATGTACTTATAACTATGTTGTACCAACGAAGTCTGTGTGGAGAGTTGTTTCCTAATTAAAATTTTTGTCTTCTTTACTCTTTGGCTTGCATAACAACTACAGAGGTGAACAAATATTACATGGGAGCTGCTTTTTGTAGGTGTTTTAGATAAAGGAACAAAGAACAACTCCTATATCCTGTCACACAACAACACTTGAAGTGAAGAAGTCATACCATAGAAATTAAGTTATTCAAACCTCTGATCTTGTAAAAGAGGACAGCAAGTGCTGCTGTTTTATGGGGAGTTTTTGGGCTTGGCTTTATTTCCCCTCCTCTCTTCCTTTGTTGTTCTGGTAAAGTAAAAAGAATGGGAGCTGAAGAAGGCCTGGCTTACTGCACTACCCTGCACTTCTCTGGGCTTTGGTTCCTCTGATGCATTATTATTTGCTTTACAGATTGCTCTGATTTAAACCTATGACCAGGATACCTTTTCATTTACAATCTCAGGCAGGAATGCATCCCAGCCACATTTAAGCTGTGTCTGTGTGGTGATGAAAGGACTGTGTTCAGTGATGACTGCTTATGAAGGTCCACTGGGCTATCAAACTGAACTTTGCTGAGAATGCTAGAGAATACCTTTATTCATAAACCTAATACTAAGAGTTTATTCTACAAAAAATATGAAGATCTGAAATTTTTTGGAAGCTGCATCTAGGCTGCTTCTTTTATCTTGTCATTTAGGCAAGATGTAGCATGTTTGTGATTTGCTGCCTAAGCCTCAGCCACTGCTGGGGTCAGAGGTTGCCTTGCTGGCCTCTTATGTAAGCTTGTGCAGGCTCTGCATTCACTTTAGAATCCAGGGCACAGGCTAAGGCCTATGGTGAGCCTACAGCTCATTATGTCAAAGCCTCTGTTATCTGTAACAAAATACATTGTGTACATCTGTGTGATCACAGGAAGTTTTGGTTGAAGCGCGTTTTCATCAGGAAATAGTAAATAGTCAAAGCTGGAGCTTTTCTTGGGAATGTGTTGATTTAAACTATTGTTTTTAAGTCATAACTTTAGTTTTGAAAGGTTTAAGAGTGGTTATAAGAAAGAGGGGTTTAGAGGCAATATGAAACAGAATTTAACCCAAATATAGGATAGCAAAATATTTCCCAACTACTTTCTCACTATGTTCTCATTTTGTAACAGTGTACCTACACAGATTGATTCAAACGGTATTTGAAATATGCTAAAGTGATCTATACTTACATAATGCTTCATATTAAAAAGATTATTAGCAATTTTGGATTGGTTCTATCCTGTAAAGCAACTAAAGGAAAACCACAGCTTCCAGTCAGCCTTTGCTCCCCAGTTTCCTGATACAAGACCGTGTGGTGACTTTGTGTGCATGGGATCAGGACCCTGTGTCACACTGGGCAAAGGGAAGGCCATGGGGCAGCTCCTGGCTGTGACCTGCCACACCTTTGAAATGTTGTCAGTAACTTGCTTTTATTCTGTGAATGATTCCACAAAATCCTAGAATATCTCTTAATGTGCCATGTCTCTCTGTGTGACTGAGTGAAAGGTATAATGACAACAGTTTTTATCTTCAAAAGAGGAGCTGACTTCTTAGTTTCAACAATTCTTTAGCCTCTGCTGTAGAAACCATGGATTACCTGGTCTTTGCTCCATACTACTCACAACCAAGGACAAGGTAAGGAATGCCTTCTCTCAGCTTCTTGGCCACATATTCAGATGAAAGAAGAGTAGAAATTGCTTTTTTAAACTATTGTAGGGCTAGGATGGGTTTTTAAAGGTCTTTCCGATTTTCAAACAGGCTTTTATCATCAGTCACTAATATTAAGTTCTCTAAAACCTACACAACGGAAGAACTGGTTACATCATGCCTACTAGACAGGAGTAATGTTATATTTTAACTACACAGATAAATTGTATATTAATACCAAAAATTAATGTACAGAGACTACTAGAAAACTGATGTAAAGAACAAGCTTTGCTATGAACATCAGCCTTCAGCTGACATGCACTAAATACTTGACTTCTTAGGATAGGATGATTTTCAAGTTGTTAAAGCCCAAAAATCACTGGCTGAAAGAATCTATATAATGAAAGTATGCACATACTGTCAGTAACAGTTTTATGCCAGTGTAACATCTTTTGTTTCAGTAGATCTGCTCTTGATTTATAATTCCATATAAATGAAACAAGAATTAAGCTATTTATGTAAGTGACTTTATTTATATAACTGACTTATGCTGTATTATGTGATGGCAAAGAAAACCAAGCACATGTCTCTTTTGTGTTTTCTATGAGCTGCAGAAAGATTTTGTAAAAGTAATGCTAGCAATAAACAATTTTCTCTATGTGATATTAGAAATTCATTCTCATCCACAGGGAGGTTTTATCATGAGTAGAATACAGGGTAATAGATGATACAATAATGTGGAAAGATTTTAGCAAATCTTCAGACAGTCTAGAAAATGTGAAAGCTGCACATCACAATTTAGACTACAAATCAGTTCAACAAAGCAATTGTTATTCAGGCTCTTCCTTGGATGAGTCAATGATTCGTACTGTGAGTATTAGTACTGAATGTATCATCTAAAATTCATTTTGAAAGATTACTGAAGCATTAATGATTTTTAAATTGGTTCTACAAGTATTTTTTTTATCAATGAGAAGTCCAAACACTATCAAGGCTAAAGAGCAAAACACAGGGGTTTTCAACCTAGTGGAATTAGGGAGGTTTTTCCACAAGCTTTTACATTGTTTTTTACTCCTTGGTGTACAATGACTATATAATATTTAGGAAATCAGGGTCAGTAGAGTAAATGTTTCTCTAGCAGTGTGGCAGACACACCTTTCATAACTCATAAAGTCACTACTGGAAAGGCACAACTGGGTCACAGAAGTGCATGGTGGGATGCTGCTTTCCAGTTATGCAACCAGGGTAACTAAAGGTTAGAGCAAGTACTTGAATAATGAGCTTTTTGCCAGAAAGAGTCGAACAGAAAAACAGTGTTTTTAAATGCTGGCTTCTGAGCAGCAGCCGCCTAACATGTCTAGTTAGGAGTCATCAAACCGAAATAGAACCGGATGCGTCAGAACTTTGAAGAATGGCAGTTCAACATCCCAAAAGAAAAATACATCTGCTTGTATTCCAAAAGCAGATTCTACCGGTTCTCTCTTTCCCACAGATGATACTAGAGACATTTGCAGCATGCTGCTCTACTTTTTCTCCTGGCTCACTCTAACTGGCTTTAGCACTCGTCTCGTCTTTTTACTTTCTCCATCATCCAGCAACATTTCCAACTTTAAGGAATTCCACAGTTTGCCCTGTTCTGTTTTCTCCTCCTATGCATATGTTGCTGGATTACTTCTAATAAACATAATTAGTGCAGAATTCTTACCTAACTTCTGACAGAGGAAAGAAGAGAGGAAGGAAATTCTGTTTCCACACTACAATGATTTTCTGAGGTTTGCAAGGCTAGGACCATAGCCCAAGGGCATAAATTATGACATAACTAGCAACTAACTCCCATCAGGTTCAGGGATATTAGTTACAAAAACCACAGGCTATTGCAAAGAGACTAAAGAAAATGGTGGTCTTTTAATCACAATTACATGTCCTGTTACAGCGGCACACCAGATAAATATATTAATCAAAATGACCTCATTTTAGGCATGCGTAGCAGTGTGTTATATAACCATGTTAAGTATGCTATTTTATTTCCCTCCTGCCAAGGAGAAATGGTGTTTGTCTCACAAGAGTTCCAAATAAGTCTGGTTATAAAGTGGTGGAGAAAAGAACAGGAGGGAGAGACAAAAGTGAGAGCATTAATAAGCAAAATGACTCATTTCCCAAGTGCAGAGGTGATGTTACATTCCACTTCTATCTCACAAGCTCTGTAGGAAACTAATGTCATCAGCAGTCTCAGCATTCCTAACATGCCCAGTATTTCTCAGGATGGGGAAAACAGATGTGTGACAAGGATGGAAACTACGTCTTTTGAGACCTCATTGGTTCACAGCATTCCTGATTTGTTTTCAGAGCTGTTTTTGAGGGCTGCCTCCATAAACAAGGATTTTGCAGAATCCCCGTCACTCTTTTTGTTGCTCACTTCTTTGGTGAAAAGTGGCATTCAATTAATTCTTTTCTAGTGCTACTAATGATGCTTTAAACAAGCTCAAAAGCACCCTTAAAAGTAGAATACATCCCCCCACACACAACAAGGCTGAGGCTTGTCTAGATTCATTCTGCACTACAGAAAAAAGGACCAAGAGGCGTACATTTTTGCTATATAAGATCACTCAGCCAGAGAACTCTGATAAGTGCTGAAAATGTGAAAAACAAATGGCAGGGTATGCATTTCCATTTGCTCAATACACACACATAAAAGAAACACTGTGTAGGCTTCACTGCAGCATACCAGTGCGTCCAAAACTCAAAGGTTAGTTACATAAATGATAAGGCGTGGGCTTAAATGCTTCATTCAGCTTGTTAATTACTTGCTTTGTGGCCTGAGCCAATGTTCTGAAGCAGGTTCATCCAATATTGTGCTGCTTCCTCTGAATTTTCATTTACTGTGTTAAGCTGGAACGCTGGGAACAATTTGTTGCGATACCTAGGAAGAGTCTGTTTTCTTTTCAAGCAATTCACAGAACAAACTTACTCAGACTAATCCACAGATGCTCTTTAAATGTCCTTGCTATTTCAGAAAATTATGAAATTTAATTCTTTGAGTATTCTCCTTAAACAAGGAAACTGCTGGCTGCATAAATATGCATGTGTTATTGGCGTATGTTTGAGGGCTCCTTTTTTGTGTTCTTTTCAATCTACAGATCCAATGTGGGGAAATGAATGGCAATGTGTTAGAAAACTCTCAAAATGCTTATTATGTCTCTGGCAGAATATAAGAAGCTACATTTTAATAGCAGATGGTAATACTTCCACCTTCAATTCAGTGAAGTGGGGCACCTCGCTGACAAGGCTCTTTAATGCCATGGCTATGAACAAGCTCTCGTTATTGAACAGCCCATCCCAAGCCAGACAAACCAACTATGTATTTCCTGAGATGTGCAGGCAGAAA